GAGAACATTTTATTAATGTAAATAATTTTCGCATACACAACCAATAAATAGATTGGGATTGTTCTGTTCACGGCTAATGACGTTTAAAAATAAATTTCCTGTCTATCTCTAAAAACTTAAAATTTAGTTAGTATATTATCAAACACGTACTATTCTATTTGTCAACCCATGTGCTTATCTATTGCGGATTTTGCTCAAAACCTTAAATAATCAAATAGCCTTAAAAATCAATATTACCGAGTCATTGTACTTATACCTTTTTGTAGTCCCAGCAATAGTACAGTGTACAATAAATAGTTCGACTGAAAATATTAGTATGAGTATTGTGAACGTTATATTAGTTTTTAACAGTATATCGATATCGGCTATTTTCCCGCATAAATAGAATGAAACAAATAAAGTTGTACAATATTTTTGTGTAAAATTTAACCCAATGACATATATGCATGTACAATACTTCCGGAAGTAAGAAAGAATCCCTAACTATCATCCGATGTTTACATTTTATTTTGTTCACACGATACAATAAACGACATGTCACAACATGAAATAATATAAAAGGTGCAATCAATCGCAATCTTTTAATTATGTTCGCAACATACACTATAATAATCTTTAAGATTGTTGACAATTCGTTCGAAGGGGAAAGAAACGCTTAAAATCCAAACAACTCCCTCCTGTCAAACTTGACACACCGTCCAACATTACTCATATTTCCCCTCAACACATTATATTCAACACAGACCACAAATAAACGTTACTGTTTCTCAGTACAATCACCACCACTAATAACACATCCAAATCAACACACTAATCATCAGACAACACACACCAGTCAAACCGGTCGAAAATAAACCATCCAATAAAGACTTTGATAATAAAATTCTGCAGTCAGAAAATAAATGTTTAATATCCTATATACCACCATTTTTCCCCCCGTGCTAGACTTTATTTAGACTACTCGGTATTCTAATTAAATCTATTCAAAAAAAAAAAAAAAAAAAAAAAAAAAAAAAAAAAAAGAGAAAGAAGACCTTGGAGCAGCCAAGTATTGACTTCTTTCTGTCAGAGACACATTTCGCAAGACATGGAAGGTAGTACGGCCTAGATTCCAACAAACAGTGAATAATGAAGGAATTCCGGGATCTAGGTGGAAAAAAAAACTGAAAACGTCTTACTTAAAGGCAGAAGTTAACGGAACTCTGGCTTTGTATTTCAAGGGTCATATAGATGAGTATATGTGCATAAATTTTTATAAGCAATAGTAGTGAATGGTAAAAGTATCTTTAAGGAGCATGCCGTAGAATGGGAGAGAGGGACGAAAGACGTAGGAATGATGACAGTCTTTCCATGTTTGAAAGCATTGCGCTGCTAGCTAATATCATTTATGAAAGGGAGGTGGCCCGCCTGTTTTTACATTTTCTCAACTTAGGTCTATCACTGAAGCTAAGGAGAACAGTTAAGGTTTCGATCTAACGGCATCCTTGGGTGTTATATCGTTTTTTTCTTTGATAGATACATTTCGGATACAAGTTTCTGTACGAACGCTTTGACTTCATGTTGTGTAATTCCAACGTGTTTCTCATACAGCATAGTGAATGTTTTATGATATTCAAAATGAAAGGCCGCAACATGGAATTTCTCTAAGAGAGCTTCTCGTAATTCCTTGTCGTGTAAGTTAGAATTAATCGTTTTTTGATCCGTTGAGAGTTTTCGTCTGTCGGCTTCTCAGTATAAAATAGACAACCGCTCTTGTTGTCGTAAGTAAGGTCTTTACATCTCCGACGCAAATTGTACTTTGGCACAAAGACACCAGACTGAAGATAAGAAACAATATCATTGAAGTCTTCAGGTGTGTCAGGTATTTTCGGTAATTTGACCATTATAAATGAAGCAACAATATAAAGTAAAGCGGATTAAGTAAGATAGGATAAACACAAAAAAAGTGCATTTTAGAAAAGAACTGAATCATCGCTATATAACAGTATTTACAGTAATCATCTGATCTTGATTCTTGTGTAGATATTTCGTAAACCACTAAAAATGGAAGATGGCTAAAGCGGAGTAGAACGTAACCTGATCCATGCAATTACATTAGTCAAATTTTACGTCAACCAATGAAATTGTAAATAATCTAACCTATGCCCAAAAATAAAATATAAAAATGGGAATCGTCTGATTATCATATTAATATGGCAATTGGATTTCTTGCATTGTTTCCAAAATATTGACACGCAATTGTGTACGCAATTAAACGCGCAAAGATCCATACTCTCATCCTCGTGAAATATATAAATAGGACGTAAGAACATAATAATAACATTTCTTTAATTTTATCCCTAAAACTCTTATATGATACAGCAATCGTAATATATGCAATACAGTCTGATTGACTTGTGAGAGCCACTGGATGAAGTGCATGGATAACAATAATAAAGTATGATTTGATTATGATATTTTACGTTGCACTCTATTTATGATATTCCTTATTGCACAATTTAACACGGTGATTATATGGCAAACTTTTTCTTAGTTCTCATCGCATACACGGTGAATTATAACCACCTTGTAAAATACACGTTATAATTATCTAATGATGATATTTACTATATGACTTCTTTTTTAACCTTCATCCATATTATCTTGATTAACTAAATTTGTGTATTTGTGCTACATTTCAAATGGTCCTCAAATTTTATCCCAAAAAAGACCCAGATTTTGTTTTAATCTGATCTGCCACATTAATGCTGATGAAACAGCTCTCTTTTACCATATAAGACACTCTCTTCTCATTCAGTTTCTGGTGTTAAAAAGATAAAGGATAGGATAATCATTCTACTTGCTTGTAATGCAATTGGGACGGAGAAATTGCTTCTTCCCATATACAAAATACAAAACTCACGACGTATGAAGAATATTAACAAAGACACACTCTCAGTACATTACTACTGGGACTCTTCCGCATGGATGCAATCAAGCACTGGCTAAATAAGCTAAATTCCGATATGCGTCATAAACAACGAAAATTCTCCTACTTGTTGACACTGCCACTTCACACACACACCAGTTCGGTAAAGACTCATTATTTAGTAATATTACTGTTTATTATTTTCCAGTCTATCGTTAATCCAAAGTCAACGGGACCGAGGCTTAAATTCGATTAACGGCATTTTTGGATTTACGAGGTTTGTTCTCAATAATCTGAACACGCTATTGAATAGTTTGGTTTGCAACTTAAGTCTTTGTAATTGTTTAGTTACCACAACATACACAAAATGGTTCTACACTCTTCCCACCTGCTAACATCTGATTATGTCGTCTCGTTTGAGGTGCAAAAAAACTGTCAATATGTAATTGTCGCTTACTTTGTATTTCAAGTACTTTAATTATTCGATGTAACTCTAAGATCGACTGACTACAAGGCGTCGAATTTCATATTTTTGTAATAGAGCTTAATGCTTTCATTAGCTAATGCAACGAAACTGGGCTTTTATTTTACACGGTTCGAGTGTTTCAATGACGTCTTTATCAATAAAATGTTACATTCATTCGAACTGCGTGGCAATGTTCCACGACCTCGTGATAGTTGATTGTTGTACTCTAAGCCGTAAATTACATCGCAGTCATTATATCATTTCTTGACCTGTTGCAACGGATTCATCAAATGCATTGATACAGTTTTCACACAAGTTTTCTGCTGGGACTACACAATAATAAAAATGGGAATAAAAATACAAAAAAATTTTCTTTCTTTATTTATGTACCAGATAACTCCTACATGGCAATGTATTACACACACACAAGCATATTAAATTTCCATTATAATAAAAATTTTTTCTTTGCCGATCCATTGCCGATCCGTTGCCGATCCATTACCGATCTTTCAAACTGAAGATACGCCCTCAAAATTTTGACAGCAGATCTGTTTCATAAAACAATGGACGTTTGCTTATTGGAGATTTTTAAAAACTGGTCTTTTTTATCTTTTTCGTAACAAAAGCTCAATTAGTTTATGAAACAAACGTTAATCTATCTGGTGTCAAAAATTTGATGGCGTATCTTTTTTTCTTCGGCAAAGAAAAACTTTGTGCAAATATGGACCTCATGTTTGTAACAGTGGATATCGTACCCCCCAGTAATATGACCCGAGATCGGGAACACAGAATAGAGTGCATTTAGGGTATGTACATTTAGGGAATGTGCATTAGGGAGTGTCGGCTGAAGACTACGCCATCCTATTAAAGCAAATTGGTTGACTATGATCTGGGTACAGTATATTATCCTCTTGAAATACAGCTTTCTTTCCGGGCATTGATAAAGAGAGTGGATCATCTCATTTAACATAAATGCATTAATGACTGAGTTCAAGAGTAATTCTTGAATAAGAGCGATTAGAACAAGTAGCATCGAATTTATTTTACTTTATTAGCCACGTCTATTTGCTGACAAGACATTTTCATCGATAAGAGTATCTTTTTGCATTGTAGAAGTCATTCTACCTCAGAACTCGTCAATTTAGCATTTTCATCTGAAACTTTTTTCGAACAACGGCCAAAAAAATCATAACTATTTATTAGCTTCTGAAGGTAAGTCGATACGTCGTGACTTTTGGAGGCAGACATGAAAGAGTAAAAATTTTTGAGACTACATAATTTTAACGTTTTAACAAAGGTATTTAAACAGTGTCTACTCTTATGTCTGGTTTTTTATTTTTTGAACATAAGTAATTATCCATTTTTTTTGCTGCTACTAAACACCATTGATAAGAACGTAACCCAGACATACCAATCTATTCACTATTAGGTTATACTATCAAACTTCAAAATTAACGCCCGCAACAATCTATTCCAAAGAGGATACGGAATACAACGGGCACAATACATCATAAGCCCCCTCCTCAAACATTTAGCAAAATCCTTACAACACTCCATTCGACTGCCTACAACCCGTCAACCAACTGACTACAACATAAAGATTACACATCCATCGACTACACAATTATGGCTCGGATTCGGTACAGATTCACTGAGGAAAAAAAACGTTGCTATTTCAAGTGTTATTGTTTTAGTTGCTTGTTTATAATTGTGGCTGCTATTATAATACCTATTACAATAGCGCTTCTCAAAAAAGATCTTCAAATTACGTTCGTGGGGGTGATACCATCACCTGACGAAACAATCTCGTATGCAGATAACAATACTGCATTCACTGCTAACGCGGGATTTCTTCGGTTTAATGTCTTCAATTCTCTCAGCGTTAAAACAACTGCTAGGATAAGCGCAAAGGTAATTATATTAATATATAAGGATAGTCCATACCTGGAACCCATGCCATTTGAGTAATTTTATTTGTTTTCTGCACCTCAGCTGTCTGTTGCTAAATCGTATATTCTTTCCCTTACCCTTTATTCCCGAAAGGCTTACTATTCTTTTGGTTATACGAACAATTATTTTTACAAAGACGATTATTTTGGAATTGGCAGTCTAGACACACACCTGAAGGCTAAATCCAATACGACAATAGATGTGCCCTTCTCGATCGACTATAATACAAATAGAGATTATAATCTGCCTATCATCAACGATATAATCAACAAATGTGGCTTCACTGGGAACAAGCCACTACCATTGCAAATCTATTATACGGTGAAATTTACTCAGGATATAATAGTATTTATAACACTCAGCGTGAATGATTGCAATGGCTTCACAGACATTGATTGTCCATTTAAGGTGAGCGTTCAAGCCAATCGGCTGTTTGTGTAATGGCTTTAACTGATAGACTTTACCTTTCTTTGTACAGGATGGAAAAGTGCCTCCAATACCTGGTGTTTATATCGGTAATTCAACAGCTAAAAATTAAAATTTACCTTTCAATAACACTTTTAATACCTGATATTGTACAAAAGATGAATATAATAATGAGCTTACAACATATTTTTGCGAACTGCATGCAAGTTGCACAAAATCTTTGTAAATTATATGTACGGCCACAATAACATAACATCAGAAACATAGATAATTTACTGATAATAGAAATACTGACACACTTGTTCCGACCCTGGTTTTACGGCTGAAAAAAAAAGTAACCGGTTTTGATATTACAGTTTTTAATCACACAAATAATTGTATTATCAATTTTTTCCATTGTGCATGTCACATACGATATACGACAACCCCTACGACAACCCCACTACCGCAGATAGTCATTGGTTTTTAGAATAAAATTACTTATTATGGGCTGGGCAAATACAAACCAGCATATTATCTGTGTGCACATACTGGATATTTCAGGTGATTATTGATTTCTGGGAGCCTAACGCTTGGATTATAGACGCAGCTATTAACATGAAAAATTTTATAATAACGCAGTCATCAGGTGGGGATACACTGAAACCGCTAAATAATAATAGCGGAGCCTTTTATCCTCAATCTATTCATTACCAGGTAGAGATTTTATCCCTTATGCAATTTATAAATTCTTATTCGCATTTACTTTTTAAATGACAACTGTAATTTTTATAGTAAATTGTTATTTATATTACATCTCCATCTCAGAGAAAATTTTAGCACGATTCATGTTCTGCGAAACCAAGCTTGTTTTACTAATAAGATTCTTAACGTTTTTAACAAACTTTGTACAGAATGTAATAGTAGAAATTATATGACAGTTTGTGTAATATTAGTGTAAAAGACTTCGAATAATGTTAGTAATCTCAAAGTCAGTGGACGGTTTATTAGACGTTCAGCTAAAAAGTCATTGTTTTATTGAGTAAGATAATGTTCTTTTATAATTACATATTCCCGCGACGATATCTGTATATAACTATGACGATATATATGGAATAAAAATATATGTATAATTATGACTAAATAACTAAATAATGATGCAATAAAAGCGTAAACATATTACGACATAGATAATACACTAAATAGTATCGTCTTCACTATTACTCAATGATTACGATATTGCAATATCATAATCGTAACAATTTGCAAATTGTTACAATTAGTATCATATAGTAATTAGGGATTGATTTGTAATGTTAGTACGTATATAGTGACAGTAAAATAGGATATAACCGAGGTATGATATCTATATGATATGGTAATTTGGGACGGCAAAGTATTGGGATAGTAATAGGGATATATCTGAAAGGGATACAAGTGAGGTAAATTTATATTGAAATACAATAAATAGAGGAAATCGTTCCGCTTCAGAGGTGGGATATATCTGAGGTTGGGATATTAAAGGGTGGGGATTTAAAAGAGGTATGACTGTCGAAATATGTTCTACTATTGATCGTGAGTCAATTTTTGTTACTGCTGAGTGTAGCCGTCTTTCTTTATTAAACCTAGGTTAAATTATGTAGCAATAGCACCTATGATTTATCCTGTGATATTAATATGTTAAAAACTAGCTTTTGTGCGTCTCTGTATAGTTTGGCAATAAAAGTCATGCTCGATATTGTGCGTAGCCGTCTCCAACACACAATTAAAGCGAATGGTTAGCAAGGTTGTGTTTAGAGCTAAGCTGAGAAATCGCCTGGTCACCAATTAAAAACAACACTCTCAAGAAATCACACATCACATTAATATAACAATATTAATTTTTATTTTTCGCGAATGATTTTAGGCCACAAAAAGACTCGCCCCGTTTTGCTACGAGTAATAATGTTGACACAACATCATTAACTCTTATTCTTAGCGAACGTATTCAATCACGAACGCTTTTACTTTATTCTTAAACATGATCTTTCTCAGCGGAAAAGTATTGTTCCAATGAACTAATATGTCCGTAATAGAGCTTTATTTCATTATAGCTTTCATTATCGCAGCGGAAGTCTTATAGTTAACAAGCTTTTATATCACTACGTTTATATCGTTCTGCTCCTTCTTCACAATAGTCGCTTCGGGAGACTTAAGAACGATTATTCATTATCCTTTCATTCGAACTGATCGTTTTCAATAAGTTCACCGAGTTTCGTTATGCATTAGATTTCATATACTGATATGCAAGGTCGATCATGTTCAGGATTCCATTTATCAATGGTAATAGTTGAATTATTTTCGAGAATAAGGGTTAGAAATTATTTATTTGGTTGTTTTCAAGTTATCAAGACCAGATACAAAAAGTATGCAGAAAACTGCTTGGGGAGCAGTCATATTTAAGCATTTTGAGAACTAATTTCTGACTCCACAGCTAATTAATAATACAAAAATAAATTTTTAGTCATACTAATATAGGAAGAATTGGTAATAAGATATATAAATCCTATATTATAAGTTTTTAGATAAATATAAAGTGTCTGCAATTTTATTTGCTTCATTGACATAAGTTAAAAAATTCTCTAGACTCCACTCCATCCTCTAATATGGCTTCAACTGCTGTTGCCATTTCTTCAGCAGTCATTTCCTTCTTCTCAGCAGCTTCTTCCTCCACTGGGTTTTCTTTTAAAGGGTTCTCTTCTTCTGCCTTTTCTTTGCCACTGAGAAGACCAAAATCTATCCCATCCACCTCATCTTCAATGTGCTTACACCTCCCACCAAGGTTTAGAAGTAAGTCAGCATCTCCTAAAGATTCTAACTCCATCAGTGACTTGGTCATCTCTGGATGATGTAATTTGATAACTGGAGTTGGGGTAATAATTGGGGGGGTAGGATTGGTTTCTCCCTTTATCGATTTCAGTGGGATAGTAGTCGTCTTCTCCTTCTTCAAAGGCACTTTGTCCTCTAATTCTTCTGCTTTCCTCTTCATACCACTTGGCCTCAATTTCTCATCTCCTTTTATATTTTCTAGCCTCTTCTTTTCTTCACTGGGGGAGCCCAAAAAAATCTTCCTCAGGCATAGTCTCTCCTCTCCTTTGATCAAAGGTCCTAAAGACCCACCTTGCTTTGTCATAGATATACTCTCCAAGTCTTTTATAGGGAGACTTGGTTTCTCCCTGTTTATACCAGTTGACATTTGTTCTTTGGACTGGTTTGGAGGGCTCATAGATTTTTTATGGGAATTAGGGTCCTCTTCTTTTTGGGCAGTTGGCTGGACTGAATTGGAGCCTGGCTCCTTGGTCTTTTGCTTGGTTGGGGTCCTAATTCTGTAGACCCTTGTGTGGTATTCCTCATCACTTGTCCACATGGGTGTTGTGGTACCTGTGGGGTAATACTTTTGTCCCAGGTGGTTTTTGTGGATGTTGTGGAGTTTGTGTCAGACTCTGTGTCACTGGTGGCTTGGGAGTGGCTTGGTTGAGAGATGGCTTGGGCAGGGGGCAGATATTGCTTGCTGGAAGTCATTTTCCTGCAGGCATCTTCCACTCTTCAATAATCTGACTTGCAGAGGGATTAAACTTCCAGCTTCTGGCCCACTGGAAGCCATTGCACTCATTGTATGACTGGATGAGTTCCCTATTCTTGATTGCAGTGAGGAGGGAGAACATTTCTCCAATTGTTGATTTTGGCTTTCCCCAGATCAGGAGTTCATTGAGGATTGTCCAGAGGGAGACCACTTTCTGATTTTCTCTTCTGATCTCCATATAATTTCCTGTTGATCATCATCCTTAAAGAGACAATGGTTGGTACATAGGAGCCTGATAACTTTTCACAAAGCAAAATTAATATTAAGACAAAAAAAAATTGTGTCAAAAATAATGTAACCTAATACTAACTGTTTCAGCTTGCTTTTGATATATTTATCATGCAATTTGCATGCTGGCAGACTAGTTATGCTGAGGTACTCTATAAATATAAAAAAGTGTCTCATTAGATTATTAGCTTACTGAACATTAAGATCACTGAACATTCAGCAATTAGAAACCATCGGAACTATTGTAATATGTAAATCTATATTAATATCTAGTCTTTTTTTTTTGTACAAGCATGACAAAAAAACAAACCTTTCATAAGCCAAAGTGAATAGTCATAAGACACTGAAAGAGTTTCTCTGTTGATTAATACTCCACACCATAAAAAGTCTAAATAAATACAATTTAGTAAATAGTGTTAAATACAAAGAGATTAATGTAGAAAAAAAAATTTTTTTGTTTGAATAATCTAAATATCATTTTCAATGACAGGAGATTCTGGTAAATGAACCTTGGATTTTATCTTATTGGTATGCCAACCATAGTTTGGAAATCCTGGTCATATTAACATTAAAATTATTTACAAAATATAAAAAAAACAATAATGAATACTGTAAATATCATAAACTCTATACCATTTTCTATTTTGCTCACAAATGTTCTCACCAATTCATCATTGTGAGAAATTATGAGCATATCATCAATGCAGTTTTGGAAGACCTATGTGTGTTAAATAATGTTATAGTAATAAAAAGTATTATTACTATAAAAATGCATTTTAATTTTACAATATACTGTCACACTTACACAGTCTTGCGATAGCACAAATGCCAGCTCTTCTTTTATTAAATTATTAAAGACTTGTCTAGCAGACCAAATTATATAGCCATTAATATTATATATTAATACAATACAAATACAAAGTAAAAGAATACCAATATACAATACCTGTAAACTGCATCAGATATTAATGCTCCTTGAGGAATCCCTCTTTTATACTTGTAATAACCACCATTGATCTGATTTTTTAATCTATGTTAATGAGTATATTTAATATTTACCAATGTTATGTTCTAATAATGTATTAGCATAATTATAATGTGGCAAAAATCTTAACCTTAAATGTGGTTTCTGTTACAAACTGCCCAATGGTTCTCATCACCTGTTCTTGAGAGAATGTCTCAACCTTCTTGATGAGAAATACCTTCTCATTCTTGCTAGGTCTGGGATTGGCAATCATCTCTTGAATAGATTCATCTACATCAGAATTTATCTCTATAAATAATAATATCTTAACATAATATTAATATATAACACTTGTGCAACTCAATTACCTGAAGGTGATGCAACCATTTTTACAGCAACAAGTGAAAAAACATTATATTCTTTACATTGTAAAGTTTGTTCTTTCATCACTTGTAGTAGCTTTTCTTGTTATAATTAGACTTGCACTTGAAATGCAATAAACGGGGAAATATTCGTCTAGACATGTGTTTATCGTTATAATCCGTATAATCGTTAATCACACAGGCCCGGGAAATGGCAGGCATGGTGTCATATCGAGAATAGCCAAGCCAAAAGAAGAATGCGTTTGCGGCAAACAATTCACTGATAGCCTGATCTTTGTCGTGTCGTTAAGTTCGACTCGCCTTAATGATGCCGCGAAGCTACTGTTAGAACCGTGCATGAAACTCGTTAGCAATTACAAAATTATCATCCTCACATTTTACCTTTCTAGCTCGTTGGCTAGTCTTATACCATCTTGCTTTAGATTCGAACACAACCACGACGCCAGTAGTTCCACGAGCAATTTCACTGTTCCAGTATCACTTGTTTGCATAAACATCTATTACAACGTATTTTGTAAGATTCTCAGATCCGATGGAAGTCGTCCCGAATGTATGACCCATCGCCCACGCAAACAGTGAAGTGAAGGCTTACTGCCGAACGTAGGGAAATTATCGAAAGTCATCCATGACACTTGTTCCCATGCTCCATAGCGCGCTGCAAGCTGCTCGTGGTCATAATTGTCGTCTCATCGTCAGACCGTCTTTTACGCCCTCTGCGTAGCTACGAGCACTCTCAGCAGCCAATTTGGGACCTAATATGAGACCTTGCACCGTCACGGTGGTTCGGATCTTATAAACTATTGTTTGTGTTTCAGAATCATGCATTTATAAATTTTATTGGGATATAAAAGTACGAAAGTCGGTTGAAAGTAGGGCAATATTTTTGATAATACATGTGTATCAAATCATCTAGAGACATAATTCGAACAACAAGATTGAGATTAAGATTAAGATTTTAATCTACATTTCATTTCTTCATGTTTGGCAATGATCAACACCGAAAAAACGCCTTTCAATTTTATACTAGTACCTAACTATTTATCCTATATGATTTCAGGAAATGTGACGGCTTTTGCTATCATGAATCGATAGGCAAATGACAAAGCAGTCAACCATGCACAAAGAAACTAGCATTCTCAATATCACACTGTATCTAAATTTACTTTATTATTGAATTGAACACCATCTTTTTTATTTACATTCAGTTCTCAAAACATGCCAATGGACATCAACCATCTCCTACCGACCATTTTCTCTTCACTTTCCTCCTCCAATAAAATCAAAAACATTTTCACCTAAGCCAGCCTCATTCATCACACGCCATAGTTGTCTCTCAGCTTCGTACACACCGTCAATGACTGGATCAACGATGGAGGTGTGAGCGTCGATTAAGCGTAGATGAGAAGAGAGAGAGTGCTTAAGATTGGATAATGAATCGGGCGACGGTGGCGACTGTTTAAAGGAATGCATGAAGGCAAATCAATAGAAATAGGGACTGTTAGTCGTGAGGGTGGAAACGGAGGAATAGTTAGTTTATCCTTCTCTCCATACTCACGGTCCATGAGACGTCTGTAGTCACATGAGTAAGATATTTTTTGATTAAGTCGTTGTCGATGTCAACAAGATCATCCGGATCTTCCACCTCCTTCAGTAGAGGATGAAGCTAATAGGTTTGTATTAATTCAACCCAAAAGGGACGAGACAATAGACTTGATTAACTCTCATGGTACATTCCACGTTTATCGTACACACGGTATACAAATACATAATACGACAATCGCAGGTACCTTAGATTTCTGCAAGGAACGATTTCTTGAATCGACCGACTTTTTAGCACTTTGCAAGCTCTTTAAGAATTCCGATTCTTCTTTTAATAGTCTACATATAAAAAAAGACACCTTTTATATCAATCTAGCCTTCCCCTGTACAACTCCCACTAAAGCAAAGATGCTCACCGCTTTTCTTTCTCCAACTGCATCTCCATTTGTTTTATTTGGTCTGTTTCCTGTACCAGTAAAGCTTCAAGATCTTGCTTGTAAACATAATAATTTATATTAATAAAGACCCTTTAATAGACCGTAAAACGCGATAAGGAAAATGGGAAATATACATGATGCAAAGATAGCTTCTTGTAATCGAGACTACTGGTCGCGTTTGTAGCCACTGGAACAGTCAGGGTATCCAAGGATTTGCTTATTCTATTGGGATACAACAGGGTGTGAGACAAGCAAAAAGTAAAGCGACATACATCTGATAGCACTTACTGTAAAATCAACTTGTCCAATTCAACCTGCAGTTGCTTCCTCCGTGATGCTCCATTTACGTGGGCCAAGACGGCTCTTGAAGAAATACAGACAAACAACAATAAGACTCTCCGCGAATGTACTTCCCATCCCACGTATTCTTACCCAAATATTCTCTCATGTCTAATCACGACGCTCTTTTGTCACTGGTGCCTATGTCAAAGACAAAATTTCAAAAGCTACTCACGGTACAGCATTTCGTAACAGCTTGTTGATAAGCCGTTTCGACGCAGCATCAAGTGGCCTCCATCTATTCTTTACTATTGATGAAGACACTGAACGTACTGTCTTTATAAGCGTCGTTGAAGATGAAGCAGGAGCTACAAGAGTAGGGATAATTAGGAACTATAGCGTTTAGACATTCAAACCCGATTGTCGTGCTATATTAACTTTTATACCTTGACTTTCGGAATCATCATATTCAACGTCTTGCATCTCTTCATCCTCTTCGTCTTCTTTCACTTCTTTACCCCCTACAATCGCATCCCTCTCTTCGTCCTCGTACTCATCATCACCATCCCCTTCCTCCTCGCCACTCTTCTCCATTGTCCAATCGTCGTTTTCCTCATCATCTAAAATAACTCTCGCTCTCTTAAACCTTCTACTACTACTCTCGCGCCTTAAAGAACGTGTATTTTCTTCCACAATTTCACAATCTACTGCTTCAGCTATAGTGTCTACAGTTTCTCTTCGCGAGCTTCTCGGTGTTGTTATTCCTACCATTAATTCATCTATGAAAAAACCTTGATCAGCTACTCGAATTACCTCATTACCTGCTTCTTGAACTAATTCATCAGCTACTTCATCAGATAGTCCACTAGTCACTTCATTAGCTAGTTCACCAACTAACTCATTAACTGCTGTGTCAGAAATTTCATCAGCCACTTCATCAGGTGCCTCATCAGCCACTTCATCAGCCACTTCATCAGATAGACCACTGACTACTTCATCTACAGGTTCAACAGCTACCCCACCAGATACTCCACTGGTTCCTTCATCTGCAGGTTCATCGGCTATTTCGCCAGCTATTTCATCCACCATTTCATCTGCTACTTCATCTGCAACGTCATCCATTACTTCATCAGATATTTCATTATTTATTTCATCCACAACTTCATTTGTCTCGGTTTCTATTTCTTCTATTGCATTTTCGACTGTCGTTCCCTCCACTGTTGCTGGTTCTGTCGTTACTTCTACCACGACGGCTACAGTTACTCCTGGTGCAGCTATAGGAGATGCCATCTCTTCTTGATCTGATATTACATCTGTTGTTGCAAAATTCGATACATTTTCTCTATTTTCATCAATACTAGCATTCTCTTCCTCCTCAATTCCTTCTACTTTATCTCCTTCATCATCTTCTTCTTCTTTTCTTGTCTGCGTCCTCTTAGGTGAGCCATTTTCCTTTTCTATACTCGCTTTTGACTCTAAATATTCGTCCACCGTTCGTTTCCTCAAATTCCTCCTCTCGGCGGTCGACGGAAGCTTGACCAATTTTGCAATCACATCTGACGTGGGATCGGAGGCTTCACGATGGGAATTACCAGCAAGACGCTTAGAGTAACGAGTTAGTCGCGTGCGCGATTTCGTAGGAGGAGAGTGGGGAGAAGAGCGTGAGCGGGAAGGAGAGGAAGGTTTGGAATTGGTGAGAGCATTTGAACGTGTGCTTGAGCGCGTTTGATGCAAGCGTGTTTTTAAGCGTGAGCGGGAAGGTTTGGAATTGGTGAGGGCATTTGGACGTGTACTGGAGCGCGTTTGGTGCAAGCGTGATCTCAAACGTGTTTGCACGACCTGTCTTGAGAAAGAAAAGTATTATAGAAGGGGAAGTACAGAGAAAAGAAGAAGAAAGGCAGAAAAGAACTTACCATTGGAGAGGAGTGTTGTTTCTACGGCCGTTGTAGTCAAGAAGATCAAATATAATTTACGTGCGTCAAAATTTATTTGTTACACGAACGATTATGTCAATTGCAGATTTGCTGTTCTGATAATGATGTTACTGGCATGTATTCGGAATTAAATAATAATATTGGTTACCAGTGTGCAGGTAAATGTGGGATTTTAACACCAGTATAATTTTAATGGCAATAGTGCTAGTATAAAATAGTTAGTGCTAGTATAAAATAGTAATACAGTTTATATCCCCGCTTTGGGACGGAGCTTTTTCGGAGATATATTCAAGGTGGGATACAACTGAGGTATATATGTGCATGCAACGTTATTTAAAGCATGCAAATTTGTTGGTTAATAGACCTTGCGAAGATTAAGCAAAGATGCTCTCTCTTATTAATATGTTTATTTTATGGCCTGATTTATGTGGCCTGAAGTTATTAAAAGTGGCATGATATTCAATTGGTAGTACAATCCTGGCACAGATTATATAAATAGAAATAGTGTGTAATACAAGTGTCATAATATAGCGAGGCACAATCATATAAGGGCATGGGAAATCGGGACCGTGGGATACAAATGAGGTAGATTTATACTAGCCGAATGAGGTAATCAAGATATGAATACACTCCGTGGCGGAAACAGCCCATTCATTAATACATACAGAATCAACTACCTACTAATGACAGAAAACTGCTGAGAGAATGATGGATTAAGATTAAGTGATAACAAAAGATATCTCTTATCGCGTAGTCAACTCGGTCGGACGCTTCTTCCCTTTGCGCGTTAGTTTGCTGCCAAAGTCAGAACAAAGTGAACAACAACATTATCATAATCGTTATCGTCAAACGCCACGGTTTGCTACATACAAACCAATTCTTCTTAATACTATCAAGATCGATTAAGTTGATTGCATATAAAATTACGTGTACCCATTGAAGGACTTCTGTTGTGCGGCCTAAATATGTTGTAGGAATTAAACAACGGCAATGTCTAACGTACAATAATTACAGCTAGGAATTTTAGAATTGCCAGACGATTTACGAAATTTTTAGCAGAAATAAACTACTAATAAAAGACCAGAACAATTGCATGGGAGAAACATACTCGGATCCAAAGTCATTAAAGGGTATAATCTATTTGCTATTTCTGGTCACACTTGATGCAAAACATATTTAATTATTCTTGTCACTGATAATATTAATTCCATTACTATTGTCTTCATTCTTCGCATATTCCATTAACTACAGTTAGATTGCCACTCTGACATCTTTTCGTGGACTTGTTCGCTTCACTGAAGATAAATTTCTTGTTGTAGAGACATTCATTAAGTAACATATCTTAGATGATGAATCGAATCCAATACATAAGATCGTTTTTGGTTACATGTTATAGTCTTAATATTCTGGAGCTAGCATTACTGCATTACGAGTTGGTCATTACAGATTATGCCATTTAGCAATGAATCAAGAATGAAACCAATCAAAGGAATTCGATTGTGAAAGCAAGCATAGTACTTTTACGTTAATTTGATTGGCTATACTAATACGGGTTTTAATCATGTGATTGAACAATTTTCTGATCCGACAAAGTTGTGTTTTCTGCAAGATGTACAAAGTATGCCTAAAGTGAAAGCGCGACGCACTCCTAAACTAAGTATGGCTTAATGTGAGCATTATGCACAACAGAAAAATGAAAGCTAATACGAATGTATAATAAGATGCAGGCCAGCGTCTGCTGGAGCTACGACAGACATTGAAAAGACTAGTGAGAGATGACTTCCAGGCAAGTACCCTCACTGTCTAAAAGAGTGGATTGCAATGTTAAACGACAACCGTAATTACGCAGGATATGGAGCAAGTCAACATAATACTTGAACAAATTGAAAAAACGCGCGCCACGGTCCACATGCTTCAGGTAACAAAAAGTCCAACCGTCTTTCCGTTGCATATTGACATTTCAATTTACGTGACCTATCTTCCCCCTCCTTTACAAAAAATGCTCGCCCTATATCAGGAAAGTAATATAGGCAAATTGGTGCGCAAGATAGCCACTCTTGAAATAGAGCCAGATCCATACATGATCAAATCCCGCTGCCTTGCTTTGATGCAACGTTATCGGCGCACTCTCGAAAACTACAAACGTCGCCATGTTGCTGAATTTTACTACAATACCGATACCCCTGTCTCTACCATTTCCGATGCTCCTGCTTATGAGTCAGAAGAATCTAATCCGTTTGTAATCCTTCAAAACGATATTGAAACTGATAGCGATTGTGGCGAAGAGGACGTCGAAGGTGGTGGGGGAACATATTTTATAGTATATGATGCGAGAGCTTGTGAAGATAACGTTAATGAGGATAATGATTATTATAACGATGTGAAGGAGGAGGGCAATGATGAGGCACTGCGAGAGGAGGCTATTGTTGTAAAACAAGAGAGTAATTTTGCTGGATATAATGAAAGCATTGATGATGTTGTGGAGGAGGTTGATAATAAGGGTTTAATTTTTGATGGAGATAAAATCAAGATTAAGGAAGAAGATAAGAAGACAAAGAAAGAGGAAGGGAACAGTAAAGAAACAGTAATGGTTAGGGAGAAGAGGAATAAGAAACAAAGTTCTTAATTGTCATCGCCATAATAATCAGAAGAACTAGGATTATTAAAACGACAGCTGATTATACTTTTGCTGCCTCTGGATAATCTGGTTAGTTCTTGTTATTTTGTTTTCTCGAAACAGCTATAATGTGATTTTACTGTCTCGAACCACCAGGTGTTGAAATAGCAAATGACTGCAAGACTGTCTTGCCATAAGCCAAGATGTGGTCTATTAAATAAATCTGCGTCAGAAAAAAACCTAATTTTCATGGCACGAAAATATCTGATATTTTACGCATGTTTGGTAGCATATAGTACAGTATATGGATATCTATATCTGGCGCATTGAGATAGTAAACAGCGATCTTGTTTATTAACACTATCGTTGTCTGAATCTTTGTTCCCTGCTGTGATATTGTAATGACATTATATGTACGTAAATATCCTGCCCATTTTGAATTAACGCACCCCTCTTACAGTCTAGCGTCAAATAACTTTTAGAAAACTAAAAACTTATAAAACTTATCGAAATTCATACGTGTTGAGTTTTCTATGCATCCCTAATTTGTAATTTCCGTCACACACTTGATATTAAAATCTGATTGGTCAAAATCGATATTTTTCATCGAAAAAAGATTTCTCGCTCCCCACTTATGATTTGACAATGGACGTTGATAGTCCGAGGGATGCGCCTTTGATTGTGGATGATCTGGAGCTTACACCAGACAAGCTTGACTTTGTAAGGCCCGTTTTTATGTTACATATGACTTTTATAGTTTTTATGTCTTGCAATCATGCATCAGATATTGTTTAACATCTATCTTTTCTATTTACGATCAGACTGTTGGCCCTCATGGAGATAAGACCACCATCACGTTCGTTATAAAGAATGAAGATCACACTCTTGGAAATGCATTAAGATTCATGATAATGAAAAAGTGTGTATACTATTATATCGGGTTTTGCGTTTGATATGGATTGCAAGATATGAATTGTTAACTCTTGATATGGTGATAGTCCCGAAGTCACATATTGTGGTTATTCAATACCTCACCCGTCAGAAGCAAAGCTTCACTTGAGAATTCAGACAACGAGTATGTATAAACTGGTTTCTGATTCTAAGTAACGTCACCTGCTGACGACTTTCTTATCGTTCTGATTTAACTTCATCAGGCAACACAGATGCAATAAGTGCTCTCAAAAAAGGGTTACTTGATTTGGAAAAAATGTGTAGACATATACAAAAGGAGTTTACAAAGTCTGTTGAAGAGGGAAACTATGAGTGTGAAGTCGAAGCACCATGATCAGAATGACTATATATAGCTTAACTGCTACTAAGAAGCTTCATGATAACAAAGTCAGCATTAAAATAAACTGAACTAATGTAGTAGTATTTATAATTAATTGTGAAAAAAAAATCAGCTACCACAAAGACAAGCTGAGAACAGGTTTAATCTTCAAGACTAATAAAGTTTAATGCAGCTAATATATCAGCCTTTACTTTCAGTTCATAAATTTTATTATGTTGATTGCTACTGTTGTGGAGTTTCACTTATGGAAAGGATATAATTATATCTGGGACTTAGAATTGCTTACATGTGTAAATATGGAGCTATAGAGACAGTTAAATAATAATGACTGCTGACTGTTGTGGCTTATGTGGATTTTAATTTACAATGTGGTATTAAGCCAGTGATCAGATTAGTATTAACACATCTTCCCACTCTGACCCATATCTCCAAAGTATCATTTTCATATTTACATTATTGGCTCAAGACAATTATAGAGAGGTTCCATTGTCTGCTTTGCATAACAGGTGCAATATTCCTTCTAACTGATCTTATCATTATTCCACTTGTGTCTATGATATTTATGAATATTTGCTGTTCAGGATGCTGGCTATGAACTATGATCCATTATCTAAAGTTTCATGCACAATGATAAGCCCATCACTTGTCAGCCATAGAACAGGTTTAATATTAATGGATCAACTATATAAATTACATATTGGAAAAGATGACTAACCTATGTAATGATTTAATGTTAACCTTGATAAAATTTAAATAATTCATACTCTGCACAGTATTATATACATCATTTTTTGCCTTTTTCAAAATGATCATGACTGCAAAACTATAAACATCAAAAACAAATAATTCAATAATTTGTCATTTATACCCAATCATCAATAATAATATACTCTTGCTCCTCTCTTATTCTCTGAGTATGGGACAAGACATCTCTGAAAAAATAAGCAGTTTTGAAAAATTTGAGTAGGGCTTAATTTTATAAATTAAGAGTCAAAGAGGAATTTGATCCTAGAGCCCATTGCCAAAGCTGTTGTGACTGTATCTCCAAATAGATTATTATTATGCCAGAGATTCAAAGAAGTCAGAGAAGAATTTGATTCTAGAGCCTTTGCCAAAGCTGTTGCTCCTGTATCTCCAATTTGATTATTACAGAGATTCAAAGAAGTCAGGGAGGAATTTGATTCCAGAACTGTATCTCCAATTTGATTAGACTGGAGATTCAAAGAAGTCAGAGAGGAATTTGATTCTAAAGCTGTTGCCAAAGCTGTTACTCCTGTATCTCCAATTTGATTATGCTGGAGGTTCAAAGAAGTTAGAGAAGAATTTGATTCTAGAGCCTTTGCCAAAGCTGTTGCTCCTGTATCTCCAATTTGATTGTGCTGGAGATTCAAAGAAGTCAGAGAAGAATTTGATTCTAGAGCCTTTGCCAAAGCTGTTGCCCCTGTTGCTCCAATTTCATTATCATAGAGATCCAAAGAAGTCAGAGAAGAATTTGATTCTAGAGCCTTTGCCAAAGCTGTTGCTCCTGTATCTCCAATTTGATTGTGCTGGAGACCCAAAAAAGTCAGGGAGAAATTTGATACTAGAGCCTTTGCCAAAGCTGTTGCTTCTGTATCTCCAATTTGATTAGCCTGGAGAATCAAAGAAGTCAGAGAGGAATTTGATTCCAGAGCTGTTGCCAAAGCTGTTGCTCCTGTATCTCCAGCTTGATTATTACAGAGATTCAAAAAAGTCAGGGAAGAATTTGATTCTAGAGCCTTTGCCAAAGCTGTTGCTCCTGTAGTTCTAATTTGATTATTACAGAGATTCAAAAAAGTCAAGGAGGAATTTGACTCTAGAGCCTTTGCCAAAGCTGTTGCTCCTGTATCTCCAATTTGATTGTGTTGGAGATTCAAAGAAGTCAGAGAGGAATTTGATTCTAGAGCTTTTGCCAGAGCTGTTGCTCCTGTATCTCCAATTTGATTATGCCAGAGATTCAAAAAAGTCAGAGAAGAATTTGATTCTAAAGCCTTTGCCAGAGCTGTTGCTCCTGTATCTCCAATTTGGTTATACCAGAGATTCAAAGAAGTCAGAGAAGAATTTGATTCTAGAGCCTTTGCCAGAGCCGTTGCTCCTGTATCTCCAATTTGATTATGCCAGAGATTCAAAGAAGTCAGAGAAAAGTTTGATTCTAGAGCCTTTGCCAGAGCTGTTGCTCCTGTAGTTCTAATTTGATTATTACAAAGATTCAACAAAGTCAGGGAGGAATTTGACTCTAGAGCCTTTGCCAAAGCTGTTGCTCCTGTATCTCCAATTTTATTATCTTGAAGATTCAAAGAAGTTAGAGAAGAATTTGATTCTAGAGCCTTTGCCAGAGCTGTTGCTCCTGTATCTCCAATTTGATTATACCAGAGATTCAAAGAAGTCAGAGAAGAATTTGATTCTAGAGCCTTTGCCAAAGCTGTTGCTCCTGTATCTCCAGTTTGATTATTACAGAGATTCAAAGAAGTCAGAAAGGAATTTGATTCTAGAGCCTTTGCCAGAGCTGTTGCTCCTGTAGCTCCAATTTTATTATACTGGAGATTCAAAGAAGTCAGAGAGGAATTTGATTCTAGAGCCTTTGCCAAAGCTGTTGCTCCTGTACTTCTAATTTGATTAATACAGAGATTCAAAGAAGTCAGGGAGGAATTTGATTCTAGAGCCTTTGCCAAAGCTGTTGCTCCTGTAGCTCCAATTTTATTATACTGGAGATTCAAAGAAGTCAGAGATAAATTTAATTTTAAAATTTTTGCTAAAATTATGGCTCCAGCATTTCTAATTTGATGTCCTCTAAAATCTAATAGTAAACATTGATTTTGATAACTTTGTGCTTCCAATTGATCAAACAAAGATGATAATTGCTTGTAAAGAGTTTCATTCAATTTGATTTTCAAGAACATGTTAACATCATCTAATGCTTTGCTGTATTGACAAAGATCAAGATAGACAGCTGCTCTTATGCCTAATATATTTACATTATTTTCTGGCTGAATTTCTAATAATTTGTTGAAATCACTTAATGCATTATCATACTGTTTGAGTGCATAATAGATCTTTCCTCTTACTCTTAATGCCAATTTATGATCTGGTTCAGCATTTAAAATTTTATTCAAGTAACTCAATGTATTGCCATATTGATTAACATCACATCTGATAATTTGCTGTTCCATTAAGATAAACATATTGCTTAGATCCATTCCAAATGATTCATCAAGATCATTCAATGCATAGTCATATTGCTCAAGCATGAGATAAACATGCCCTCTTAGATGTTGTGCTATTGTATCAGTTGGTTTAATGCACAATAATTTATTGAAGTCTTCTAATGCATCTGCATATTGACAAAATTTAAAATAGACAGCTCCTCTTGCAATCAGTGTGTTTGTATTATTTGGTTCAATCTCTAATAGTTGGTTGAAATCATTCAATGCCATCTCATACTGGTTAAGAATGTAGTAGACATTTCCTCTGACTTCTAATGCAAGGGCATTACTCACATCAATCTTCAATGATTGCTTAAGATCTTTAAGAGCCTGTCTGTACTCTGATTGTTGCATATAATATTTTCCACGCCAAGCCCATGCCCTGGCATTGTTGGGATTATTTTTTATGGCTTGGGTTATGTAATCATAACATTTTTGATGGTTTAAAATTTCCATATATGCAATGGCAAGGTCAGTTTGGATAGTTGCACTGTTGGGATAATGAATAAGTGCTCTTTCAAGCCATAATATTGCATTATTATATCTTTTTTTATCAAGAGCTTTCTTGCCTTGTTTGTATGCAGGATGTAGACTTCTTGGTCTCCCCATTCTTTGTAGGATAGTTTTCTTTGGTTTCATTTTAAGCAAATATAAAAACTTTGATTTTATAATAGAAGATTCCTCAATATCATCATCATCATCATCTTGACTTGCCACAATAGTTGTAAAATTTTTTGTTTTATTTTTTGGTGTGAGATTAATATGTCCAGCTCTGACAAATTTTTCATACAATGCTTTGTAAATTGGTGAACTTGGTATTTTCTCAGTATCTTCCAATTGAAATTTTCTTCTACAGTAAAAGCAATTCAGTTCATGGCAGTTTATCCTCATAAATGTTTCTAATGCCAAATAGCTAATTTTGTGTTTGCATGGAAGTATTCTAAAATCATCTGTAATTTCTTGTGTAAATTGACATGTAAGATGATCAGCAACCATGTCTAAAATTAATGAATCATTTGGATTTGAATTAAGAAGTTCTTCAGACAGCTGATCATGTTTACTTGCTTTCTGTTTTGGGACTGACATTTCAACATTTGCTTTTCCACTGGCTTGATTAATATGAGTATATTTTTCATCAATGTATCCTCTCATGTCTTGAACCCTTTTCTCATCTTGGTTCAAAGTTTCAGCATGTTGATCCAGATCAACTGTCACAACAGAAAATGTGGTTGAATCTTTTTTATACAGTGTCATTAGAACTTCCATTGCTTTAAATTGAATAAATTCCATCTTCACTATGTCCAGAGATAGTTTTGCAAGATAGTAACAATGGGCCAAAGTATTAGTATTTCTTGTAGATATTGTCAGACTTTGGGCAATATCCAGTATACCAAACAATAATGAGTATGGAACTGATTCTGAGATATGATCTGACAAGTTTTTTAATTTAGATTTGTATCCATTTATTTCTGATTTTGCTGAAACTGCTTTACTCCACTCTTGGTCTCCAAATCTCCATAAATCTTTAATAATCATCAACTCCCCTTTAGCAACAGAATTTCTATGAATTGGAACAGCTGACCATTCAACAAATGCTTGGTGAATTGTATATAAATATCTCCATTCCTTGTACCAATGTCCCACAGAAAACTTAGATTGTAAAGCCTTCTGAACATTATCATATATTTCAATAGTGGCTTTGTTATCAATTGGAGTTTCTACAGTTGTCATAATACCAGTCATGCCAGGTAAGGCCTCAGCTAGTGCAGCAAAAAAAGCCCTTAATTGGTTTATAATTTCAAGCCAAGCAGTTTTATCATCATCCAACACATGAAGAGTATTATAAAGACACATGAGTAAAAAATCATTGTTATAATTTTGCACTTTAACACTTTCCTCCTCCAAAGTAGCAAATAAAACCCTTGGCCTTTGTAAGTCTTTTTCTATGACTTTGGTATAACATTGATGGAAGTCATACAATTTTGTAAGGTTTTCATGCAAAGTTTCAAGTAACTCCTTCTCCATCTTAACAAGTCGCTTGCCATATGCTTCTAAAGCTAATACATATGCTCTCAGATGCAATTCCAATTCAATATCAGTGGTCATCTTATGGTCATTATATGTGACATTAATTCCAATTGTTTTCAAAACAATTCTCAATTGATTATCATCTAATCTATTACCAAATAATAACAACAGATTGGATAATTTAATAAGATGACTGATTCTGTCATTACTGTTGACAATTGATTCCAAAGTTGTAGATAGTTGCTCATTTAATTCAACCTTGCTCAGATGTGCTGTAAACATTTGTCCATAGTCATCACCATAATTACTATCACTGTCACTTTCAAAGACAATAAGGTCTCTCTCAATCACATCTTCAGTCTCTGCATTATCAAGCAACTTCCCCTTTCCTTTGTTTTTAATACCTGAAGATGATTGCTGTCCAATCTCCTAGTAATAGTAATATTGATATTAGAGTGAGTTGTATTTTTATTGTGAGTATTGTAAGAATTGTTAATTTATTCCAATGCGGAAAATTATCTTAAAGTTTGAATGTATACAAAACTCACCCAGCTGTCTGCTGATGAATATTCACGATCCATACCAAATACAAAGGTTTTTATTGAAATTCGCTTGTTTATATCGATCATATTTATTACTTATGTTTGTGTGATGTGATACAATTTCAGCAATAAAGTTGTACTTATTGTGATGTGATACAATTGGAAATTGGGGTTGACATAAACCAATTAGAGATTGTGCCCCGGAGTATCAGCAAACAAGACATGCTATCATAACTGAGCGTTTAAAAATAAATAAATAATAAAACTAAGATCGTATCGTTGTGAAAAGATAGATTGCAGGATGATGTTAAATTGCGAGCACGAGAAAGGCATCAAAAGAATCATAGCGGATAGCGCACTTTTGCTTCGAAAATACATGCACGGCCTCCATTCACAAATACAGTGGACGGTGAATTAAGGACCCCCCTTTCTTCTCTATTGTCGATATATAGCCTAACCAGTGTCTTAATTTCCATAACAATAAAGAGTGGCTCCCGTAGTGGTCGGGCCCGTCACATTCCTTTCTCATATTGAGAGCCACTTGTACTTGGAAACTACAATTTCATCTCGTAATATTTATCAAGAGCGAATTGTGCAAATGGTATATTGTTACTAGATTTACGTCAAACTAGGATGTAATCTTCAGCTAGCATGCATCAATAGTCATCACCTACCAACCGCAATAACCATTAGATACAGACAGTATTAGCATCGCGCCTCACGTATGTAATACGAGAACACTTATATAATAAAGATATCAGTGTGTGTCTACTTCCATCTCCAGTCATGAATCGAGATGAGATAGGAATTTTAGTCTGTGTGACTGTAAAGACTCCTGTGTAACTAAATCAAATTAAAGATGAAAAATCTTATAATCAATTTTGCGATCAAAAATATGCTAGAGCGCACGCCACCACATAGAATTTTTCATGCATTCAGATTCTTCGCAGCTTCGACTCCACATAAGTCTATATATAATCGGCCGTATATACTCATAAGTAAGAAATATCTATCAAGTCTTGATACTCCCGAAGAAAGAGAAAGAGCTGAAAAATGGCTACAACGATTCTCAAAAGACAATATCCCGAGAGGTAATTATTTATCTCACTTTTTGCTTAATTTATTTATTTTCATCATTTCAACACTTTTTCTTCTCCTGTAGAAATGCTTACAATAACGTTTGCAAGGAGCAGTGGACCTGGAGGACAGAATGTCAACAAGTGTACGTTATTAATAAAATCATTGATAATATATTCTTCTCTTTGCTGAATTCAGTTTATGATTTGAACAGTGAACACCAAAGTTGATATGAGATTTGCAGTTGATCAGGCATACTGGATACCCGAATATGCAAAAAGCAAACTTCTTGTTCAAGTGAGCAGATCCATGCTCTCTGAAAATTTAATCGTACGTAGCATTGGTCTTTGCTCATCTGCTGTTTTGATTTTCTAGCAAGCGAACCATGTCAACAAGAAAGGCGAGATTGTATTCACTTCAGATAAGACACGTTCGCAACAGAAGAATATCGAGGATTGTATTGATAAGTTACACACGGCGATTGTGAATGCGGCAAAGGTGCCTAAAGCACCGAGTGAGGAACAATTGCAAAAGATTGAGGATTTGTGAGTTTTATTTCAAGTCATTATCTAGTGCGGCAGCTTTTTTTTTTATGATGCGTCTAACTTTTGAATATACGTTGGAATTCAGTAAAAAGGCGGAAAATAGACGAAGGAAAGAGGGAAAACAAAAGAGATCTGCGGCAAAGGCTCAGCGAAAGTGGAGAGACGATTAATTCCATGTTGCCCAGTGAAAATAGACATTAATTGATCGGATTACAATACTCAAGTCAAGACTATTGAGAAAACTGGTTTAATTACTGTTATAATAGGACGAACGATCAGTTCGTTGACGTTTTTCATTGGCAAGTTTCTATAACTTGCATCGTATACCGATTGATGAGAGTGGATAGAGCGTTTGTCGGGATGAAGAAGAAGGAGAAGGAGAAGAGGATATTGGATATTGGATATTTCTGTCAGAATGTAAGTGTTGCGTTCAAAGTTTTATAGAGTGTTTAGAATGATGAACTTTAACAATGCATAGAACTATACAGTGGCTTACCTTTGTTACGTTGATATCCATTATTGACTAAATAAAGTGTCTTCCTTTCAAGTGAATCAGTCCATAAGGCTGCTTGAGACTACACACATGCATTTTATTGTACGGGCATTTTGTGAGTGCGTTTGATGCATCTCTGGACAACCACTTTCACGTTAGTCGCTCTATCTTTGCGATATAATTGACTTCGCCCACATATGATACTGTACGCCGTGGTGGAACACCAAACAATATTTTGCGTGTACGGCTCTTGAGCGGTACAAATATATTCTTTTTTTGATATTTCCGGATATTCTTTAGAAAACACTGCAATTCATTGCAAAGTCAACGACTGAGCATTCTAGATTGTCAGCCTTATATCAATCTGACTCCCAATTGATTTCGCAAACAAATCAAAAGCTTTTTACGGCTATTTGGATGACGTATAATATTCGGCAAAAGCAAACCAAATGGCCATCCCGTGTCACATTCGGAATTACACGAAGAATTTCATAATACTATTGACCAAAATCCGCAAACTTACACGTATTTTGTATACAAGTTAGGCATGATCTTTATTACATTCAAATAACAGCAAGTTGCTTAAAAGGAATATGATTTCTAGTGAAGTTAAGGTCACTAACTATCAATTATAGATTTGCCAAGTAGTGGTAGCCTGGCTTGTTTAAAAGGGTAAATCTCAAGGTTAGTTATCAGTCACTGTTGCGGTAATTAACTCGACAATATTACATTCTCCAATTGATATCAACGCTTTAGATAATTTGAGGAAAGCATTCATAACGATGATGCCAATTTAAGCAATAACTATTGAGGATTGCTTCATCGATTGTTCCAATATGAATTAAAATAAAGAGCAGCAGGCGTCATCTTTGATCTTTCTTTAAATGTTCTGTCTTTCATCAGAGGCAAAGCTTATTTCTTCTCCACAAATTATCCACAAAGTCTACTCATATCAAACCAACCCAACACTCCAATTTTGAAAAATCTGTTCATTCCCATAAACATAAGATTGCCGTCCATAATCAAGACAGAAATGATTGGTTCTTTACCGTCAGGTGTAAATGTTTCAAAGAGAAGCGGTTTGCCCCCGTGGCTTGGTCTGATTTGACTTTCTAGAGACTTTTAGCAGCACGATAAAGCCGACATTTTGAAGTGATTCATATCGTCTAACTGTTAGATGTACATGTATATGAGATATATTATTATACGTGAACGCAACCCCATAAGTCCTTAAATGCAACATTTTGCCCCTAAATTCAGCTCACGTGATTTACGTAATATTATTTGTATACCATATCAAGTTTCAACATCACAATTCGCGCGCGCGCACAATCATGTGTGAAGAGTAATAATTCATGAAGAAAATATCGTTTTTGAACTTTCTGAAAGTGACGATATTACTTCTTTAATTAGTGGAGAACACGATGAAGAGGGCTGACGATGATAATAATAAACTTTAACAGTTGTTAATGAGCCATTAAAAAGTTTGGAAAACATAGTAATAGAGACGTTTCTAATTCAACAAGAAGGGGCCAAGCGTTATTTAAAAGCTGTTAATAATTAGAGAGAAATAAAACAAGGTAGCATAACACAATTAGGAATATTGATGTCAACCTTTGTTACGTAACTTAGCTGGAATTATAATTAAAAAACAAAACTGTTTAATATACGTAAATTATTAAAATCCTTATTTCCTATTAAGGAAACCTTCCATACATGCAATATAGCGCTTGGCTCAAGGCGTTGCATTTACAGAAGGTTTATTGTAATAGTAATCAGTTCAACTGTTTTGCGTTTTGTATTTTATTTGTTTACTAAAATTACATCAACGTCTACTTGTGTACCGCTGATTGAGGAACTTTTACTTTTGCAACGTCATGAGTTATGTGCGGGACGATACGTTTACGTGTTATATGAAACGGCGGCGTTGGTATTCGCGTTTGGTGGGAGCACCTATTAATTACTGAGAGACGATGGATACCATGCGTCTGGGTATGAGTAGACGCAGCCTTATGTGTAACATCTCAAAGCATCGATTTGTCTGGTGTAACATAGCATAACATTATTAACATAGCTACATTTCAATCGCTATCGCCTATGCATCTTACTAGTTTTTCTCTGATGTTTATTTGTTCAGCAAACTGTTCTTTACCTAATTTAATTCTCGCATTGACTCTTCAAATACCCATTTATCGTAATTTTCTACGTAGATATTTACGGGTAACTTTATATCTATATACAGCGTGTCGTGTAACAAAAAATTTTTTTAATCAGTATTACTCGATAATCACTGTGTCAATTTTTATGCTTGCTGGTCGCTTAAAACCCATATACGTGTATTTATCGAATAATAACTAGTATGGGATGCGCTCACCGTTGCACTCAATAATTAATTTACATCTCGTTTCATTGAGTCTGTTAAATTAATAAGAGTCGCTTCTGAAATATTTTGCCATTCATCTTTCAACATTATATTTAACGATACACCAAATATTTTCTATTGAATTTAAAGCAGGACTGTTAGATGGCCAATCCACAATTTGTGGAATATTTTTCTGGATAAGATCTTAGCAACTCTACTTGTATGCTTGGGGTCATTGTCTTGCTGCCATTCTATCTTTTACCAAGCATCTGGTTGATTTCAGGAATGTGTTGAGCTAAAATTTCAACGTACAGTAACGTGCAAAAGTATCCTACCGGTTGTATCATCTAAACGTACATAATAATAACTCCTTAAATTTTCCAGGA